AAAACTTTAGTCTCAGTATTAATTCATGAGGAAGATAACAGTAACTTTATTTAGATAGTATTTCCTTGGTTTACTCATGTAATGTGAATGATAAGAGAATTTAATAAACTTATCATGTCTATACTGTAATACTTTACAGTTTTGTTGTCATTAAGCTGAGCGTTCTAGAAATGTATTTAGAGTATCTGAAAAAATTCTTGGTTTCTATGTGAAAATGTCGGGGGAGAAAAACATTTTCACACTCCAATAAGCTGTGTTTGATGTGGTAAATTTTCTTAGTATAAAGCGATCCAAAAAATTCTAGAATAACCACTGCTTACTTTAATAATAAAAAATAATCTGCTTAAGGAAGGAAAGAACCCTTTATCTTCACTCAACTTAAGTGAAGAACTGTAAAAACAAAAACAAAACGACTACCATTAAGAAATACCTCATGTACCGTACCAAGAGTAAAAATAGATTTAGCCAAGGCTAAAAGAGAAGCTCTCTATCTTTCTCAAGTAATTCAACTTTTGCTGTAAGTAGAAAGTAAACTGAATTCTACCTTTAAAAAATGAACCTGAGCCTGCGATCAATTGAAAACCAATCAAAACTTGGTCATCGGATAACTCTAAAAAGATACGTTACCTCAATCAGTTGTATACCTGAACCCGCGATACAGTCATATGACACTGGTCAGCCGACACCTTTTCGTACAGCTGTCAATTGGCCATAACATACATGTCCAATACCAAGTTAAACACCAGTACATGCCTTAGACTCCCACCTAGTAAGTATGCTATTTCACATCCGCTAACATAAAGGGGTGGACGTACGGACGATGGTTCAGAAACAAAATTTCTTGGATACGTAGATAACCCATGGTGCTCCGCTGCATCCGCTTCGCGCGAGCGAGAGGTCCGCAAAAAATGGAGTTTAAAGTTTGATTATTAACGAGCAGGAATGTTTCATCAAGTGTGAAACACGAGGCGCATTGATCATTGGGGTCGTATCATGTAACCCGGCTCATAAGAGAATTAACTACAGTTAAAGTCAAGAAAATTTGTGAACTTCTTTCCACTGGTTTCAAATTTATTGTTTCAAGAAGATTATTAATAATTAATATATGAACGAGAGTTTCGCTTTTAAGTTTGGTTAACTCTTTGTATACCTTATTTATTCGAATAAGCGCACAACCTCGAATTAGCGCTCACCTAGAATAAGCGTCCATCCTAAAGGTAGAAAAAGTTAATAAGCGCCCATCCCCTCCTCCTCCTAATCAAACTCAAATAAGCGCTCACCGCCACCTCACGCACTTGAGTGAATAAATTCTAATAATAAATTCTAATAATAAATTCTAATAATAAATTCTAATTCTAACTCTGTCCTCCCCGAGGACAGAGTTTTCTTCAGAGTATTTTACAGAAACCTTGATTTGTTACTTCCTAGCGTTTTGTTATTAGCATTTATTGTTTTGTTGCAAAATAAATGAACATACTTCACTTGCTGAAATGGTGAAAATTTAATAAGAGCCCAGCCTCGAATAAGCACCTCCTCTCAAGGTCCAAAAAGTTAATAAGCGCCCAGGACGGTTAATCGAATAAATACGGTATTTTATGTTCAGCGTAAATCATTATATAGTCATCATTTGTGTTCTCGTCCACATAAGCGTAAGTAAGATTGGAGTCAGTAGATTTGTCAATGTTCTTATTTTGTTTTAAATTTATTATCTCACGTAAACGAGTCTTAATCTAATTCGGGAAATTTTGGACGCTTAATGATATCAAGCCGAACCAGTCACCTACTGAACGCACTTATACGTTTGTTCATTATCAGTTAAAACCTCTAATACAGAGACCTCGATCTATATCCTGCATAAAAGACACGGCCCACTTCTTTAATTCCAGCAACTTGTTGGAATTAACTATAACGCATAAATAACGTATTAGGGTAGCCCCAGAAATGGCGAGAGTTAACCGATGTTTACACCATTCATGTTCAGTGTTTCAGTTTTGCATGGAAAAAAAAGCAAAACAAATCCTATTAAAAAGCTGTTCTAAGTAAATATAACATGATTCCAGATATGATCACTTTGTAGAAAACTGGCTATTAAAATCTTTCAGAAATATAATATCTAACTGCATAAGAGAGCTTTTTAAAACATTTAACATGGAAATTGACGCACCGAATATTCGTCGCCTTTTTCTCCAGAAAAGCCTGATAGTAATTGTAGGTTTCAGGTTGTTAACTTCGCCTTTTGAGGGTTCGATCACAGGCATCTGGCGAAATTTCCACGAGTCTACAACACTCATTCAAACATAGTTGAGTTTAGGCACAAACAGCAATGCTATTAGTAAAGCGAAACCCCGTGGAAAGCTTTGCCATTCCTTTCAGATCGCAGAAAATACGTGATTATAAAGCCCTGAAGATTGAAAATTTGCGTCGGTAGGCAAGACGATTATGTTAAAGTAGCAAAAAAAAGCGAGACCATTATGAGCAAATGGGCGGTAAAGATTTTAATAAATCTTGATTCCCATCACTATGAAGTGGCCACTCTTCCGTCTTCAAGCAAGTTACCGGTACTTTAGGAAATTGACTGACAACTGGCACGTGAATTTGCCAAGACCTTAAATTAATTCTCATTTAGTGGGGCGTTTGAGGTCTTTGAGACATATAAACGGAATATTGCATTGACACAGAAAACAGACAAATGCACAGTTTATTACTACTTTAAAACGTTTTGCTTTCTTGGTTAAATTTCCTAAAACACGTTGAACATGAAATGTCTTTAAGTAAGAAAAGATAAATTACAACAAATTAAATCGTTTGCGCCTTCCTTCTCACGTCACCAGTTTTTTGGCAAATTGCATGGGAATCCCTGCAGTGTTAACCCTAGAAAATGTAGGCTTGAGGAGGTTGGTTAAAACTAATTGTTGAATCGGCGATGTGTTTTTGACTTAAGGTGATTCCCTAGTAAAAGAACCTAACATAGAATGTAGATGAAACTTGGTACACTGATGTAACAAGTCAAGAAGATGATAAAAAGGTAATAAAAAGTGGGGGTCACAGTGCTCGTTTTGACGGCACAAAGCTGACAAATACGGCTATTTTGGACCCTTTGACAAAAACCGCCCGCAGCCCAAAACTAGACAAAAAGGAAAGATTTTTTCAATGATGCATGTGGTATCGCACAGAATTTGACTTTAATGTATTGTTTATCCACTTACGTACCAGAAAAATGCCTTTTAATGCCCTTGTTTTTACTTTACGCTCCAGAGTAGAATTAAATTGGACACGCGGTATTCGACACGTGATAGCTCAATCCGTACAATTTAGCAAAATTGCCGAAAAACTGAACATAGATTTGTGCCAATTTTTTTTCTCACTGAAAGGAAGCACTGTCCTTATTAAAATCATGAAATAAAAAATGGGGGTCGCCGTACTCGTTTTTGCGGTAGAGCTGCAGAAAGTGCGCACCAAATACATTTTCCTTGATTCTTGAGAGAGGACTGGGGCGAGTTTCAAAATAGAATGTATGCGAAAGGGGGAAGAAAGTATTAAAGAATCCGTTTTTACAGAATTTACATCGAGATATCACATTTAGGACACAATGTGATAAAGAAAGCGTTTAAATGAAAATCAAAGTGAATAAGCACTAACATCCACTATCGAGGTTCTCCGTGAGGAAGTCGAACTCAGCAACACGCTTACTGCTCACGTTATGCACATTCCCACCACATTGAGTCTCACCTCGGCAAGAAACAACCGCAAGCAAAAATTGCAATAGCGTTTCTCTTCGTTCAACTTCATTTTAATAATGTTACTTCACATGCTCTTTTTTACGGAGGCCATCTTGTTATGCGCAGTAAGAGATGCGCAGTGCAAAACCAGGGAATCACCTTAATAACTCATCATCATCATCATCATCCTTTCGCTGCAGAGCAGCCGACCACAAGTTTCCTCCCAGCCTCGTACCCAGGCCTGTTCGCGCTATCCGAGTGACCAGCGGAGGCTTGGAACCGAGCGCGATAGCGCGAATTTTCCCGACAAGCTTGACAGGTGACGTCACATCCGAAATCACCGAGGACGACTGGGAACGAGGCTGGTTTCCTCCATTGATAGCGGTCTTGAGCCATCTCCAACAGCTGATTGTTATTTAGCAGATTATCAGGATCCCCCAGAGGACAATGAATATAGTTGGTGAACAAGGTTCGCTGTCTTCCCGGTTTCTTCCTCCCATGAGTAGGAACATACATTACCAAACCTTTGACAGGGTCATTTTCAGGCAAACGGAGCACATGACCAAGGACTCTTTCAATAAGGGGGGCTGATTCTGTGAGGCTGTAGATGGTAGCATTTGGCACCCTGTCGATTCGTCTCCAGTAGAATAAGATGACCCCCCCTCCTCTTCATCAGAAATGGGTGGGCCCCCCAAAAATTGAAAAAATTATTGAGATTAACCCCCCCCCCCCCCCCCCCAAAATATATACATATTATTTATTAAGAAAAATTATATTATTAAGATATGACTGCCCAGATATCTTTGTATGAACTGTACTTCCAAGATTATCTCAATGATTGTAATGGTTATCATGAATTTGTGACTAATAAAACCAGGAGCCCTCCAATTAAATTACACTGAGTACTGCGGCCCTGATGTATTGATCTCGCTATTGCTCGGTCAATACATGAAGGCCTCGGTCTGAAATTTCCCTGTAATGACCGCACGGACGAGGTTAATAAGTGGTACATAAACTGAAGTGAAGTATTATCACTGAGCTTGTTTTGCGAGAATAACTTTGACACCTAAGAATAAAATGTTGAAGCAGCAAGGCATAAAAACACTCCAAACATGCTCTTTATTTATTAGCGACCCAGAAAATACCAAAATAAACAACTTTAACTTTAATCAAGGAGTACAACCTCCTGTGAATTATAAATAAAAAACACTAATCTTCCAAAGAGATTCGATGATTGAGTTGCTCAATAAGTTTGTCAACAAAGGACAAACAACAATCACCGTTAAAGACCTCCAAAGCAGATTACTCCACACCTTTCCACACTCACAGTAGTAAACGATTATTTTCCGTTTACAAGGGAAAATTCACTGGTACGTAATTACAAAAACAACAAAATGTCTTTTCAAGTCATTTTATGCACCCGCCTTGCTTTATAGGCCATCAGGAGTGAGTCAGGCAGGGCAAGTGATCTATCACGTCACAATTTAGACACCAGTCTCTAGCAAACCAAGAAAGCAGGCTGCCAGGCCTTGAACAGTGATCAGCTGCTTCAGGGTTATTAGTTATCTCTTTCTTCATGATACCAAATACCATCAGCAGTTTCACAGTCTGCTATTGACTGGCATGTACGATGGATCTTAATTAGCTCTTTGCCTGTTCTTTGCAGAGGACAGACGCTTTGGTTGTTTATTTTTCTCCGTTGTATAACAACTGAAAACCTTTCTGACTTTCAAGTGGAAAGATTGGCCGCTTACGCTTTGTCTTCTCTGAAATCTCGATAACAAGTTCTAGAAGAAAAAAAAATTATAGTAACAGTTTGGCTTTTGTATTTCTCACAGTTACATAGTTAACCTAATTTCGAAAAAAAGAAAATATAGAACGGGAAAACTCACAATCGGCTATCAATCGGCAATCGGCAATCGGCGGCAAGGTGAGGGGAGTCGCTGTCCAGTAATTAACCTGCGTAGCCAGCGTTTCCGTTTGGTTTCGGAGCAAACAACGAGGGACGAGAATCAAAGAAAGCGCGAAAAATGGCGCAAGTGAAAGAGCAGAGTCTCGTTTCATTTTTCGCGCGGTCAAAACCGAGAATTCCCTTCCTTGGTCTTTCTTTGCTCCGAAACCAAACAGAAACGCTTGCTACGCGGGCTATGCAGCAATCGGCTTGCCACACAACCTATTTCCTGGAAAAGGGAGATTCGGGTAATTATGGAAAACCAAATTGGCTTAAAATTAACAAAGCCCTATTCCGTATTGTTTTACCTCAATAGAACAGTGGCCTACATTGCAGAGATAATCTAAGACCGGTTAGCAACCCATGCGAAGCAGCGCTGATATCCTTGTTCAGGGCCCACAACGGACCCAAAAAATTACCGGAATTGCGTTTCGCAGACGGACATGTACATGACCAGAACGGTTTAGTTTCGTCTGCGGCGCAGGCTATAGAACAGCTGGTTGATACTTCTCGAAGTACTAGAACAAAATGATTAAAATTTGCCTACCGAAAACTATTCGAGAAATACCCGCGCTAAGAGGCATACTTACTTAGCGTCTCGTCGACTACCCCCGGTAAGAGATCCATGAGCACTTGGCAGTTTGTATGAAGAGCAGGGTTGATATTCACCTCTAACAACCAAACCTAAGAAAAAAACGCTCGTGGTTATAAGCTTCTCAGTTATCAAAGAAAGAACGAATGTGAAAAGGAATGCAAAAGAGCAAGAAAATAAAAGTCGGGTTGTAGCAAAAGAAATCCATAAGATATGCACTGGAAAAGACCTTAGAAGGCAAACCAAGGAGTAGATGGCCGTTTTTTCACCAAATGTGTGAGAAATATTATCGAAAAAGCTGTAAGTATAGGCGTAACAATTCCACAAAACAGAAAGGTAAGAAAAATTCAACTTCACATTATCGATCAAAGTTTCGAGCAGAACAGTGTGGGGATAAGTTAGCAAAAAACGTTGGAAAGCCTTGAAGAGAAAAAGCCGGGGCACACTTCATGAAAGCATGGTGTCAGAAGGATTTGCCAACTTTATACCAAAGGAGGACCGGCCGGCGATGTGAACCCCCCTAGAGACCATCTTGATTATCGTAGACGAGACAACATACAAAGATCCAGCCTCTAAAACACTGGACGAGCTAGGACAGTGACTACGCTTCGCCCGGAAGAATGTGACTTTGGACACACTTTGGGAGCTCGTACATTCTATACCTCACCGCTTAGAAAATGTCAGAAAACATACAGGAAGACATTCCTGTTACTCAATGTTAAATGAATAATGAATAATATCCTAAGTTTTAAAAAAGGTTTTTTTAAAATAATTAGTGAAATTTGAGCGAATAAAAAATCGGAACGAACTTTTGAAACACCCTGTAGAACAATGCTGGTCTTGTTTGTACTGCGATCTTACCACTCCGATATAACGGATAAAATCGATCGTTTATAATCCTTGACTCCGGTTCAAAAAAAGCCCTAAAGATGTGCCGTGTTGTCAAACAGTTAATGTATGTATTAACATTGTTTCGAGCTACCGCTGGCAATATTCACTAAAGAAACGCTTCGGATCATGTATCCAAAGTACGATCCAAAGAATCCACCTCCGTTATGGAGCATTTGGATTAAAAATCCGTTTCTGGATTTAGTATCGAAACGAAATGTCCGTTTTCAGATTAAAAATCCGGATTTGGATTTTAGTAAAGAAACGCACCCAAGTTTTTTTAGTAAGCGCGAGAAAACATGCAAACTAAAAAAAGCGCAGGCAACATCTGTGGATGCAACAAGTGGCACGCAAGGCAATGGGCAAATAGGCTAAGCGCGAAAAAAATTATATGAGTGCATACTGGTAAAGTGAGCTAAGGCGGGAATTATGCAACTCGTGCTAAACACGGGAGAGAGAGCTATGCACGAAAAAAATAAACATATGCAACTGGATCTTAGCGCACACACAAAAATGATTCCAATCTCGAAAAAAACGCCCGTAGCGATAAGCGTAGGCTCGATTTCCGCCGTCTCCCGGGTCCGGTCTTTGATGAGCGCGGGCTCATTTTCCCGAACAGCGGCTGGTTATCGAGCCTACGATAAGCGACTTGGGAGACATTTTTTCAACGTTCTCAAAAGTAAAAAAGGATTATCTAACTAGCAAACCTTAAAATCTTCGTCAATAAGAAAGTCGAATCCTAGTAAGTCAAAAGTTCCTGATCTTCTATGCAGCTTTTGACGAACACTGTGGAAACACGCTGTCATTATCTGATGCATGCGTTTCTGGAAAATAAAAGTAAAACTTGACAGTCATGATCATACAAAGCTCATAATTATAAATCTTGATGGTTTTGAAAAGGAAAAGAAAAGGCGCATAATATGATTGATTCACGAGGAAGTCAAACGCAAAAAGCAGGAGGCCTAGATGCGAGATTTCAAAGTACGGAAATCACAAATGGAAATCACCAAAAGTGCGAATATTAGTATAGGTAATAGCATGATTTGTGGTGATATTTGGCATAAATACCACGAGTGATATTTCGAAATTTTGTTATACGTAATTTCACTCGCCTAACGGCTCGTGAAATTTGAGACAATTTTGAAATATCACAAGTGGTATTTGTGCCAAATATCACGTACAAATCATGCTATTATTTGTTTATACTACTACCCCAGGGTGCAAAGAAAATCATTTTTACAGCTTGTCATTCGGGCAAGCTGAAGCTAGCATTTACTAGCCCATTTTAGCCCCAAAAACTTTTTGTTCTTCTGTTATTCAAATTCCTCATAAAACATCACTTGCCCGTTGGGCAAGTTAAAAACAGAATTCACTAGCCCGATAGCAAAATCTACTAGCCCCGGGCTATCGGACACTACTTTCTTTGTACGCTGCTACCCACAAAAGATTTGTAATTTTCACATGTAGGTATTTCAAATTGAGCTGAAATACCACTGCTCTAAGCCAATCAAATTGCAGTAATTTCTCATGTAGTAGTTTAAACTAATTAATACAGTCGAAGCTCTCCTATCGGACGCCATTCTAGTAAGCGGACGGCTCTACTTACGGCTGCCTTCATAAAACCCTGTTTTTCTCAACTCCCATACAAACTCTGTAGTTTTACATTCCCGCAAGCGGTCAGCTCCAGTAACGCCTAACGGACTCCTTTTTCGCGTTCCTAGGGTGTCCGCTTACGGAAGATTCCACTGTATTAACCCCGGATGAAACGTGAACAGTGACTTGTGGAGGCAGCGTGACCGGGCGGTTTGAGCGCTGGACTTGCAAGTCGGAGGCACAGAGTTCCAGTCCCGCCCTGACAGACCGCTAGCTGGATTTGTTCTCGATAATCCCGAGTTTAACCAACCAATCAATCAATCAATCAATTTATTAACGTCAATACGTGGGATGGGGTTGCCCCGATCATCCGAGCAAGAAGCTCATGTATAAAACGCATGACAATAAAAATACTAAGCTAATAAAGATACAATACATTTGAATAAAAAATAATAATAATAATAAAAGTTTAACTCCTCCACCACGCCTGTAAATAGTCAGCTGGTTTGCATCCTACTAGTTGGGATTCTTAACCCCATTATGTTTGGTTTAATTATTTGTTTCAGGCATTTGTTCTTCCCCACTATCATCAGTGCTATAAATACTGCCGAGGGCGAATAACGGAAATTTATTTATTTTTTACTTACCGTGAATGCTGTGTAGACCCAGTTTTCAGGGAGTTCTTTTTCCTTGGCATATTTCTCATCGATGTATGACTGCAATCGATCGAAACTCCAGACAGTATCTTCCTTCATGGTGGAATACATGGGGTGTTTTTTCTGTACATACTGTGTCACAGGAACAGAGATTTCAGATAACATTTAACTGTGACTTAACTATAAAATTATAAAATGCGTTTTCCAAACGTCGTGGCAAGCAACCGAGATTTTGTCAGAAACTAGGGTTTACTGATAAAAGTCAACAAAGCCTGGTTTCCAGGTTAAGGGCTTTTATAAAAGGAAATTGAGAGCTTGCAACTACGTCTCTGGAATTTAAATTCTACTTTCAATTCCCTTGTGGCTCCCTGTCGACTGAAATGTCAGATTTCCGCCAATCAGCGAGAAGCGGAAACGAGCACGAATGTAAACAAACACTGATGACGTCATTACTTATGTCATCTCCGCCATCAGCATTTCGCATCTACTTTTTCGATGCAGATATTCAAATTCCCAATCCAGAGAGGTAGCTGCCAGCTCTCCTTCCTTTTCCCGGCCCGCCGCTAAAGCGCAGAGCTTACTCGCAGGCTAATTGCTGACTACCCCACAAAGATATCTGGTAAAAGCAAAACTAACTAAACGGGTCAAACCTGATTGGTAAGATGAGCATGCAGTCCAGCGGCATCTTGAGTGTAGGGTGTATACGGGACACACGACAAGCGTACGTATCCCGGATGATAAAAGACAACATAAGGCGTGGTACTTGCGATTAACATGTACGTACGGACATCAAACTTGTAGCCATTCAACAGCAACGGATTCAGCACATATCTGCCAAGGAAACGACAATATATTGTTAGTTGATATATGGGATATACCAAAAAGAAAGGCAGACAGGAAAAAGTAGTCGCAAGTTGCTAACGAGAAGTCGCTTGTCAGAATTCTAATTCTAGTGCTTTGACTGTGAGAATTTGGGTACCTCCTATGTGGTCACCTAAGGGCTCACCTAAGACTAAGGCAGATTAGGAAAGACAACGCGACGATAGTGAGCTAAAGACGGCGCACGAAGACAAAAAACCGACTTTTCAACGCAAGGCGGCAAATTGAGCACAGAACTGGCGTTCAGTCATTTCCGCGTGTTTTTGGGTTCTTATTTGCTGCTACGCTTCCTTTGCTAAATCTGCTTATAACACTGGAGGTGACCCGACTGCAAGGTATCTGGTCATCTCGCCACCAAAGAATACAAGGTATCTGGTCATCTCGCCACCAAGAATAGAACTTAGCTTAGCACTGTTTTAAACTTTCATGGAAGGAAGTTTCTTAACCGTTACTTTATTTTCATGTTTCAAAGAAATGACTAGTGGTTGTGACCGTTTCTGCCAGTTTGTTTAACATGATCTCTCAAATGTCAAAGTTTACATTCACAGAACCTATACATGTATTAGTAGAATTTGCATTACCAAGAGCATAAGACGTTCGACGCAAGGATAGTCCATTAGGATCGACAGACTTGTATTTGGGTCGAATTTAAATTCGAAAAAGCTTGATGAAAAAGTAAAAATCTTAGGTAAGTAATCCTAGGTATTTAACGGTGTCAATTATTTCAGAGTTATTCGTTGGTGGCGAGTCGACTTCTTGGTGGCGAATTCGTTGATGGTGAGATGACCGTAAACCGACTGCAATGTTTTTTCCACAGAGAAAACACAATAGCAATGACAAGCTGCCGGCGGAGGCAGAACTGGACCCTAATAATCTCCTACCCAACCGTTTCAGGAGACTGCGAATAAACAATGTTACCAGAGTGGACGAAGCCAAAGGTAAGTTCAAGGCATTATTTGTACCTCTGTATGACTCGTCCCTGAGGTGGTCGCACCACGCTACGTCTTGCACTTGATTCGCTCTCTCCATTTATGTTTAGCTTCTCTTTGAGTTGTTCTTTGCTGCTGACAAGATAGATGCCTTTCCCCTGATTCATGCCTGTTGGTTTACAGATCCAAGTTTCACCGTCTGAGAATAAAAAGCCCGCAGTTGTAAGAAGTGATTGCTTAATGAATTTAGCATCCCATTGTAAGACAAGTCACTGTTAGCTCGGAAAAACCCTTTCTTCTGGCAATTTGTTTGGTCTCAAGATGGTGTAAAGAACGAGATATATTGTACACACATTCTTTATTTACCTCTGTTTCTCTGTGTAGTACCCTAATAAAATTCGGGTGTCAAAACTTAGCATTTCGGGCGACATGAATTTCCGGCGACTTGACCGGACACGTTCGGTTCAAACGAGTTAATCTTACCTTTATAGACTTCATTCACAAACTTGAGTTTTTCCGTTTCACACATCAGCTTGTGAGTTTCAGGTACAAATTCATTCATTGAAATTTGGAGCCTAAAAAATGACAACAAAACCAAGGAAAACACATTGTAGGTAAAAATATCAGGTTTCTCTATCACAGAACAACAAAACACACCATATCCCATACAAACTACAAACATCTACGTAATAAAAAGCTTATATATGAGTGGTCACAGTCCACAACTTCAGAACGAAATACTGAGTATCTTCTATTCAACTTGAGGATTCCACCGCCAAGAGGTGAGATGTGGGCTGTTTCACTTACTTAGATGGTGTCTTGGCCATTTTTTCTTGCACCCTTTGGTATTCTTGTAAGCTGCACAGAAGACCAAGCTTTGTTGTCAGCAGATTGATGTTAGAAATGTGATTTACAAGTTGCTCTCCTGTTGAAAAAGAAATTGTGATATTGCTCTCTTACTAACTTCACGCAGGTTGTCATTACAGATTCAAAGTCACAAAGCAACAGGAAATTCTTCAATCTTCAGGTCGCTTCATTGATTTTGGCATACTACGGAATGCGCTCCGGAGGAAATTTTACGTCTTTCGGGATTTTCATGTGTCAGGGACACAAGAAACAGGGCTACCAAAATCACTGCTTTTATTTAATACTGATTGTATAGTGGTTATTGATCGTGTACTTACCTTCCCTGAAATTGTCGTAGTTTATCTGACTCTTGCATTCCACCCATTTTAGTTTAAAAGAATCATCCATCTTGTCTTCAATCTTACTCCAGCCCAGTGAAACTAATGTAGATTCAATCCTTTAATTCAAACAGAAAATGGTTGTGATTAATATATTATTCCTGAAGAACACTCATTTTTTAACTAGCCAATAATTATTGTCACTGAAAATAAAAGAAAAATTCATTTGTTTATCCCATAATTAAAGTGTCTTGGAGTGTCTCAACTTCTTGTTTACAAACTATAATCACATTGTCATTGCCACTTAACAAAGTTTTTGACATCTTTTGACATGTTTTCTCAAAATCACTAAATTTTTACAAGCTTAAAACAATGCAGACGCTCACAACTTATTAAAATTCAAGATGCTTTGGAGTCATGTGATTTGAAAGAAGTACACGTGAAACCTTTCCACCTGCACGACCCTGTCATCAAAACGTCTTGGATTTTTACACTGTATATAGAAAGGGCTTGGAAGTAATATACATGAAAGAATCAGGTGCGCAACGGAGACACACGAGGGGCTGCTGTGCACCCAGTTCTTTCTTGGGCCCATTTCTTCCAAGTGCTTGCTATGCAGGCTATACTGTATGAAAATTAATATAATGCACCAAAGTTAACCAAAAATGAAGAAAACATGTCAAAAACATGGAGATAAACAGCGATAGCATGATCACAACAGGTGCTGCAAAGATATTGGCTTTCTGATTCATTTCCTTTAGTTTAGAGTATTTGATCCAAACTTTATTCTTACATCCAGTTTCCGTTTCCTCCTCCAATAAAAAATTTTGGTTGTTTGCCATTCTGATGACTGACAGATCTTGCACCACCTCGCGAGTTCTTGTGAGGGGTATCCTTGCTATTGTTATTCTTTTCATTTCCATTTCCTCTTCCATTTCCTGATGATGAATCATTTCCAGAACCTATTTATGGTGAACAAAAAGGAAGTTTACTTTTACTCAAACTATAAACAGCTAATTCAGTCTGATAATCAGCTCTGATTAGCCAAAAAACAGGAACCGAATTCTATTGAAGCAAACTTACTGGTAATTAAAAACAAGGATGAATTTAAGCTGATGATTGCTGGTACAAAAATACATGTACTTTTATGGATAAAGGTCACTTTTAATGAAAATTCCATTGACTAAAAAATTCAACTTACGAGAAATTTAATAGTTAATAAAAGAGGTTGATTTTCGAGACATTTCAAACAATTAATGAGGGCCCATCTCGCCAATTCAAAATATAAACAACTAGCAGTTTTTAATACTGGCAGCCTGCATTCAACTATCTGTCCTGTTAGTTTGGCAGGCATACAAATGAATAGTAACGATTCTGGCCACCCGCTAACTAAATTGCATAAACTTTTCAAAGTAATCTGTCAGCACGATCACTAACATTTCAAGTGGATGGATATATGCAATAGCTGGTCAGGCAGGAAATTGAATGATTAGGTAGCTCTTTTGCTTCTTTTATTCTTTTGTTTGCTATGAAAGTAGACCAAGATCTTGCCCATAGTGACAGCCCTGGTAATTTGTACATAACGCTACTAACAGCATCAAATTCTTTAACGCACCTTTCCCCTTTCTTACAGCTTTTGAAGGAGACACAGAACGTCGAGCATTACTGCTACCACCGGTGGAGTTGTTTGGACATTGGATTATTGAAACAGCTTGACTGTCACTAGCATCATTGTACACAAAATCAAAACATTCCAGTGAAGATGAAATGTATTTACTATCTTCAAGTCTCTCAAATTGATCCTCATCCTTGAATTTATTATAATAATGATCATTAGTTTTGTCTTGATGTATGCAGTTTATTGTTATATGGCAACATTGAGGACATCGGCAGCTATTTCTCACAGGTTCCTGCTTGAAATCTTCGTCTATGACATTAGAAGAATCTGTCAGCTTTAAGCCACTAGTATCGCCTTCATCACTGATTTCCTTCTCAAGTTCAATTGTTATCTTTGATATTAACCAGGTAACACATTCATCCAGATTGTGAAATGTTTTTTGTCTATATTCAGACTTTGCCGATAAAAATGAAACATCAGTAGCTGGATGACCATTTTTGCAAGAAAATTCTTCAACAGAAGTGGAACAATCCTGTGACGGATTCCTGATGATATTTTGCTTTTCAGCAGAGACAAGTTGACCAACTCTTTCTAAACCTTTGTCACTTGATGCATCGCACTGGAAGCTATTTCCATCACCACAAACATTAACTTGTTCATCAATTTCCTGGTCTTCCTCTGCATCTTGATCTGGGGTTTCATTAGCTTGATCCTCAGCAAAGATTGACTTTTTTCCTGGCTGATACTTTGACCTTGTCCAGGAATGTTCTGGACAATGGCTTCTGCAGATACCTTTAAGCCATGTGTCAATTGATTTAAAATGATACTGCATGCTGTGGTAACTCTTGGCACTGAACTTGTAAGAATCATGATACTGTATCCTAAACATGATCATTAATATATTGAAAGTTTAATTTATTTGGAAAAAAAATATCAAATAATAAATAATAATACAACAGTTATAATAGAATTAGTAAAAATACAAAAAAAATAAAACTTATAACTTATTTATCTATTTATATTTATATGAAGCCCCAAAAATTTTCAAGCAGAAGGATTTGAGACAATATTAATTATTAGGTAATTATTACCAAATCACATTTAAAAAAAGACAATTTTACAGCAGCGACTCATTCTTTTCCACGAAAAAAACAAAACAAAACCTTACTTTCCACGTTGCCATCTTGCACCAATTGTTTTTTCTCCATTGCCTGCCCAAACCTCAACATGGACCATGTTGTGACGCTGTTTCTTTGCTGAAAATTTGAAATAAAACAGCATTACATTTTTCCAAGGGAATCACTTACAAGTACCTACTATAAATTAACGATAGATGCAGTTTAACTAACAGAAATACACAAATATAAATTTTAAAGTAAAAATAAATAAATAAGAATGATGGACATTAATTTTTAATGTATTACCAACTAAACAGTGCATAAAACGTACTACTTTAGTTTATAATCTCATGTGCAATTTTCTTCACTGTTAATTTAAATCAAACCCTTCTTTGCAGAAACAGCCTCAACATGGACACTTCTCTCTTACGGACAGTTCTCTTGGTCTCAAAGATGTCAATCTTCATACATTTGCTACCTCCTCTTAACTGAACACATGCACACCCTTCCTTTTGTGTCCATATTAGGTGGGGTTTGAGTTCAATTTGAACTTACATTTAGGATTATGGTAGATTCCAGACACAAACACCAGATCACCAGGTTTCATGTCCTCTGGCTTCTCAATATCCACTGGAAGTGTGTCATACTGAAAAACCAGAGCTCATTAGATGAGAATCTAATCCTCTTTAACTTTCAATAATTGTTAGAATAAGGAAAATATAAAATAGCATTTCCTTACAAAACAGCAATACAGTGTTCTCCCTAAATTTTAGCTCAGCAGGTAAGAGACCATTCATGGCCGATGAGGCAAAAAATATGCGCCAGAGGTGCACTTTCCTAGTGGGGGAGGGGGTAGTGGAGTGAGTGACATGGCCCACCCTCACATGGAAATTTAGGAGCTAAGTTCTTTGAAATGTCATTCCCTTATTTTAAGACCTACTTTGCGCAAATCGGTCATTGTTATCTCTAGACAATAGTTTAAAACATTGAATCCACATAACTTTACTCTATATTCTTTGGAAATGATTTCTTTCCAAAATGGGAGGCCCATAAAAAGAAAAGCTATGCATACTTTAGAACTTTTCCATATATTCATTCATACCCTTGTGAGAATCAGATCGGATCACAACTTGCGTATTTTTTAAAACAATTTATTTAATTTTCGTAAACCTTCAAGTGGTTGCAGGCGGTGTTACTTCAGGCCGTAAATATTTTACCGGTTACCGCATGATAAGGAGAACACCAGCAATATTAACATTCAAACAATTTTCTTAATAATATTATTAGTGCCATACAAGAAAATGTTACATGGTGGACGAAGAAAAAGAAAAACAAGAAAACACAAAATGGCTATGAGGCACTGTAACAGAGGGTAACCCCAACCTAAGAGATTTAATACTGGAGCCCCATAGCTAAGGAAATGTGGTAATCAACCCATTTTGTTCCTACTGGAAGTTCCCAAAATCAAAAAATTTTTTCATTGTTGTCCCCTGTTTAGCATTACACTTAAATTTTTTTTTTTACTGTAATCAAGGCTGTCTATTCTATATATTATTAAGTTTTTGTTCCTACTGGAACTGAGTTCCAAAATCAAAATTTCATTCTCTTACTTCTGTAATCAGGGCTTTCATTAGTAGCCAGTAGCTGGGAGCCGGCTTTTTTAGCAGGCTACTTCAGTAAAATCAACCCACTACTTAAAGTTTTGAAATAAGTTGAACACTACAAACATAGAAGAAATTGTGGGATAAATGACCAATATCCTAAGAGACTGGCAACTTAAAACCTTAATGACTCTTGCCCTGGTTATGAAAAACAAAAGAATAACAAAGAAAGTACTGGTCAAGAGGTCTTAAATGAACTGACCAATGAGAATAAATAATTCATTACACATTAATAAAATTGATACCATGTAGGCTTGATTCCAGGGACCAACTTCAAAACCGAAGTCCTCCTTGAGATCCCGAAGAACTTTTCTGACCAAGCCACAACAATCAAGAAACAAAGGGGAGTTGTATTCATTGGCTGTTTAAGAAAAACCATTCATTGCTTAATAACAAATCATTTTGATACAATAACAGAGCTGGGCTTTGTTAACTAAAGGCAACGTGCACTAAAATTACCCTGCAAGCTGAGGATTCTTTCTGACATGGCTTTTAGCGATTACAAAGTTATTTTACTTCGCTTGTCAGTCACATAATTGGTTTGCCTATGGGGGCATAAACAAACCAACTATGCGACTGACAAGCAATGCAAATGACTTCATAAATGCTAAAAGCCACGATGGAAAGAAACCTTTGCATGCAGGGTTAACTACAAGTTATGATGAGAATTTTTTTATATACCATAAACCCTCTATTAAGGGGGCTTATTTATTTCAAGCCCATTTGAGGAGGGGTCGTCATTCGTTTGAGAGGGGGAGGGGCTTATTTAATTTAGAAAAGACGATGGTATCAGTTCTCCATAAAGAACTAGAATACTAGAAGCTCACAAGAACAAGAAGGTTGGAGGTAATGTCGCCAAGGATCAGAATCAAATCCGAACTTCCAATCGTTAAATAAACCAAACATCCTGAATCAGTCCACACAAAGTTTTACAATCATGATTGATCAATACAGTCTCTCATTTATTAGTAAAGAATAATTAGGGGAGGGGAGGGGAGGGGTCTATATAGAGGATTTATGGTATATACACTCTATTCTATTTTAGAAGGTGGAAAAGACAGAAAAAAAAAGATTTTAAAAAGTTGGACATCAAAGTCTTACTTCCTGGTTCCTGGTATTTCTTTGCATAGGGCACTCCAAAGTACTGCTTGCACTGTTCAACAAATCTCGTTCTTAGATTGTGCATTCTTTTAGGATCGGCTCTCCACTTTATTGCTTCCTCATTCACTTGCTTAGACAAACGTATTGCCTTCTACAATACAAACATATAGATAAGGTTACCAAATGTCTGCAACTGATAACCAGTAGTAAACTTGCCTGAAAGCCAACTCCCTCAAACTTGTTACCTAAACCTAAGAGTTAAAACATTCTGAAAAACATAGACACAAAGGTTAGAAAGCACACCCTGCCTCTCCACACTGATTTACAGTCATTTTGCCAATGTTCTGTTCGCTAGCATTTTAAGTCATTTCATTATACAACCTATTCATGTTGTCCTTCAGTAGCATAATTAAAAATATATAAAACTGTTCTAGTGAGGCGTGAAACTGCTGTTTAAGTTTAAGTTTTTAGTTTTTAAACAGCAGTTTAAGGCCTTACTAGAGCAGTTTTATATATTTCACTATATAACATGTAAAGTAAGTTCCCCAATTTACTTTGCCTGATCAGTGGATTAAAGACAAGGTATACACATGTGCATCAGTCAGACTTTTCTGTTTCACAACTGAAAGAGCAAGATACATACATGTGTAGAGCTAGTCTCATTTTGTAAGCAAAATTACTTTAGATATTAGCCAGTTGGGCATTAGAGAAAGAATTTAAATGCGGAAGGACCCGCCTTCCCTCCTTCAACACCTTTTGCTGGGTATTGAATTCCGCTACAGACATAACGTTATTTTTTCTAAAAAATGCACAAACTTTCATTCTAAATGCACAGCTGTAACCTATTCATATATAAAATTAGTCCAAGCGAGTTCTGAGGCAAGATATAATACCTTGTCTTAAGAAAAACCCTGAGATAAACGAGCCAGTAATATGAAATTTACCCTGCGAGCGTAGGCCCTTCGATCTTCCTAGATAAGTCGGGAAGACTCACCTAGGAAGATCGAAGGGCCTCCGTCTGTTCGCAGGGTATATAAAATTACGACAAAGACTTGTCTTACAGCCGTCTAGATCGATCAGAGTAAATTCCTAAATATTTGCGCATCAAGTAATTCATCTCGGTTTGTTTTATGAATACCTGTCTATCCTTGCGGAATTTCTTGAAAGCCTCCTGTAAACTCTCGCCTCTGCTCTCTTTCTTTCCATCTCCACACGAAATTTCGATCGCCTCGCTTCGTTTCACGTGCCTTTCCTTGCCGTCTTCCATTTTAAATTTATTAACCCGTAATTCACTGAAAGGGTATCGTGTCATGGTAAAACACAGTCGTTAAACAGGCTGAAGATTTTTCAAACAAATCATTCAATTCAAAATGTTATGACATGTAACAGCTACAGTTTGGCTGGATCGTACAATAAACAGTTTGTTTTAACCGCGTCTGGTTACCAAGGAGCTAAACGCGCAAAGAGTGCCCTTCCCTACAGTGCTAACTACAAGAGGGAAGCTGTTTTTAAAAAATAGAAAAATTTGATCTTTGCCTTGTGCTCGTTATGATCGAATAAAAGTTTCTGTAAAAATATCACAGGCAAACATGATTGACATTTTGTTAACCACGATTATTTTCACCTAAAAAAAGCTTTTTAGGGCGCTTCAGGGAAATACATGTACAACTTTTGACCCCCCCGTACATTTCCAATAATTATATTTATAATAATTAATTAATATATTCATATGCTTCACACAAAGACAAAACAAAGGAAACAAAGAACTAGTCAAAATCGTCATGTCATGAATACTTGCCTTCACAGAGAGCATATTATGATCACTTGATCACTTGTGTGTCCGCATGGACGCCTATCGAGATGGAAACGACTGCATCGAGCTGTTACTCATCTCTTCCCCTAACAAGCAATGAATACCACCACAAGACGAAACGTGAAACATTTTCCTGATAAACGCTAGCGAAATCATCAAAAGAAGCTTGGGGTTATCAGGGTAATATCGAGTTTGCAAAATAAATACCATTCGAAGCCCGCCATTTTCGTACCTGTGAATCCGCGATTGATGCTGGTCTGCGTAACTTATGAACAAATTACTCTGATTGGTCACCAACCACGCAGAACCGGGGCATTTAAAATTTCGAATCTTCGATCGTTGGTTCAAAACCACGCGACGTTTGCTCGAATAAGTTGGCTTCAGCGTTCTTTTTTTGTTTACAGCAAACATGGGTGCACAAGAAAGCAAGCGATGGTCAGAACTGGTTCCAGAAACACCTCAAGCTGAAGATAAACGCCTTACAAGACTTCAAATCCCTGACCCGCGGTCGCCGTTTTCTGAAGTACAGCGAACTCCGATTCAATTGGAATGCTACGAAGAATCACCCCAGAACCGAGAACTGAACGTTGTGGATCCAAGATCGCCGAGTTTTCTGATAGATCGCACTCCTATTACTGTTGCCGTTGGACAGGAAGTAGCACAATCAAAAGAAAAATTTGAAGTCGCTGTAGAGGAGGGAGAGGGAAAATCGACCGATCATGATGAGGTCACAGAAAGCCAGAACGAAGAACACAACGATGAGGCCGTTTTTGAGGAGCCGCCCTCACCAGACATCCAACACATTAACAGACTCCTCAGCGAGACCTCTGTTTCTCCTGTTTCACCAGGAGCTCCACTCTCTAAGAAAGATAAAGCGCGATTGCTAAAGAAAACCACAAGCCCGAGCGACTTTAAGAGAAAGCGAAGGCTCTCAGAACGTCGTCCTTCCGTCCCTCAAAAGCTGTTCTCAGACAAGGTTGCTCCCGCCCCACGATCTCCTCTTGCTCAGCGAAATTCAGTTATTTTGACTGAAGCAGTAAAGAAAGGAAACAGAGTTTCGTTCCGAGCTCAGAAAACCAAGAGACTGAGCTTACAAGATGGACTTTATTCTGGAAAAGAAAATTCTACAGCACCACTTATGAATTTGTAGACCTCAATAATTTATTTGATTTCCTCCTGAGAACAGACAACCAAGGGATAAAGCTACAGAGTGCTACCTATACTCTGTGATTTGTACAATGTTTCTGAGCTGTAAATAGAGCTAAATTTTATGTTGACGTTGAGGTTATTATCTGCCAGATTATTGTTTGGCTATTTAAAAAAAATCAAGATTCTAGAGGAGTACTCAATAAACCGTAATCTCAGTATGAATTACTAAAATTGATGGCAGAAATGATACTTTAGCCCTCTAAGACTGACTGACAATGCAGTATTGCGATTTTTTAGCATATTCCACTCTTTGTCTATGATAAGTTATGATAGTATGTTTTCAAGCCAAATGAATAAAGCAGGGTAAGCTTCAACTTTTAAGTTTGAGAAGAGCTTTCAAGACTATTTAAAAATAGTCTTGAAAGCTCTTCTAGCAGTAGAAACTTTAAAATGACTTAAGCTCATTTCCAATGTTTGATAAAGAGAAAAACTACAAAAATGTGTCAGTCAATGTACAAGGTTATGAGAAGTATTGTACTATTACAATATTATTGCCACAACAATTTTATTAATTTCTTGTTGACATTATTTTGTTACAGTCACTTTAAATGCCGACATTGAAAATAAGTTGTTCAATGCTTATATGAAGGCAAATATAACAATAGTCTTTTAATTTGTAAAAAAAACTTAACACATAAAGAATTTTACTTGTCCAAGACAAAAGTTTTGATGTATATCATTATTAAATGAAGAGTTAAATTTAAAAAGAATGTCTGTGTTGTTACAATAATATTTAACAACTGCACACAAGTCAAACCTTCTCATAGAGTAGTCTTGAGTTCAACTTTGCCTGCGAGCAGACTTACTTGTCTGGGGCGTCATGGAAGTATCTTGGCAGCAGAGCGGTAAGAGCAAGAAGAACTGGTGAAAAGGTTTCTTTACCAATTCTTCCCACTGGCTCACTCACTAGTAAAAAGCTATTTTTTTATAGATTACTCCCGCAGTCTGCTAAAGACATGAACAATAAATTTATAGTAATATTTCCCTGGTTAAATAGCATGACCAAGCCCCAATTTTGTCCTGACTTTAGAGATATAAGACATGACTTTTATCATAACCTTTTTCCATCACCATCATCATGAATATTCTGCACTTGCAGCAAAATTAAATTTAAAACTATTATCTGACTTTTGAAATTTCCAGTTCTCATTCAATGCATCATTTTCTTCTTCTGGAGCTTTCTGCAAAAAAGGAGCCTATTTTCAGCGTACAGCAGAACCTCGCTAACTCAAATTCTCCACTGACTTGAACTAAATTTCCTTTCCCTTAATCAAAATGTCACTGAAATCTACCCTGATAACTCAAATTCCCAACTAACTCAAAGTGTTTTTCATTCCCTTCAGAGTTCGAGATACCAGGGTTCTACTGTAAAATTGTCATAATATTTTTAACATAACAGTGCTATAATCTCTGGGAATCAAGAGGCAAATCCCTAGAAAGTCTGACATTTTGTAGAAAATAAAGTGAAAAAAAGTAAAAATCTATCCATTTTTGGTACATCAATGGTTAGACTATTCTGGAAGCTAGCTCCCTGCTTTCTTTGCCCCAAAGTGATGACAACTTGTGGACAGGAAACTGCTCTAGATCCATCTCTGGAATTAACAATCTACAAAGCTCTCAACTCAACACACAAAATTGTATTATCAACCTGTCTTCCAGAATCTGTAGATTTCACTTGGCAAACTTTGACGAATATGCTCTTCTGGTCTTCTTGCTTAACAGAGGATAGCTTTGGACTAACAACTGCAGCTGACTCTAGAGGTGTAATCAGGAGAGACCAATATCAATAAACAATAGTACAGTGAAACGTCTATTAAGCTGACACAAAGCCGGGTCTATAAATTAACGTGTTATATTTCCCTTTACAATTTTGACTAATATTTATTGTTAATAACCTTTATTAAGCAGACAGTGGACTGAATTGACAACAGTAGGATTGGATTATGTCCTTGAAATACATACTGTAGTCGATTGATAAAAATAAATCAATACATTTAGCTATCAATAAACTGTAGATTAGACCGAAAATCTTGCACAAAGTACATCAGAGCTTCCTTAGCTTCCTTAACAACATGAAACTTTATCCCAGTACAGAGTAACTGTTGAAAGTTAATTGTTAACAAACATTGTGCAATTTTTACAAACCCCTATGAAGTGGACACACTCTATTAAGTGGACAATTGGGAAGGTGGTGAAGGTGTCAGCTTAATAGGGGTTTCACTGTATTACAATCAAACTGGGACAACCATGAACACCAGAAGTATTTCTGGAATGTTATTGTGTTGCAAGAAAAAAGACAATCAGGTTAGAGAAAAAAACACTAAGATGTATTATTAATTTGTGGTTTTGTGGCTAGTTTGCATGTCCTGATTTTAGTTCTGATTGGTTGTAACACCATAAACATATTTCCTGAAATATTTCAAGTGTTTACAGTTTTGCTGGTTTGTCTGTGACTCGAAGACTACAATAAAAAATATGGCTCGAGTTCGAAACTAAAACAAATAGAACATTGAAAGTCACAATCACTTACGCTGTCCAACTCCTAGCGATGCATAAAAGAAACGATAAAATGAAAAGAAAAGGCTACTCCAACAAAACTCTGAAGAGGTCTCTTAACTCTACGAGCTTAATTTAAGCCATCCTATTACATTAAACAGTCAGTGAATCAACAATAATTAACTGAAACGGAAGCGAGTGTGACTTGCGAAACAACCTTGTCTTTGATTGCGTTGATCATCTTGGATCTTTTTCCTGTAGTCTCCAAACAATGAATACATAATTTGCCTTTTCCTAGGCTGAAAATGAAAAAAGAGCAGAATGTTTGACATTTAAGATTTTTTTTGTCATGAGCATATTCCAGGAATAAGACTATCAAGTTCTTAATTTAAGTCTGAAGAAATCTATCTATCTTACCATGGGAGTTTTGGATGACTTCAAAGATCGTAAATGACGATGTGCAACTTCAGCTAAAAAAGTATTAGTAGAAAAAATGTTAGTAAAATAACGAAAATTCTTTGAGTCAGAAGAAGTTGCTAGTTCATCTATTTTTTTTTAAACATGACTCAGCTTGAGATGGCAACAAAGATAACAAATCAAAACAAAAAAGGGCAAGTGAATTTTTTTATAAAAATACTATAAATCGAAGAGCAGTCTTCACAGACATCTTGAGGAGAGTGTAAACAAAACTGAGGCCAAAAGAAAAGGGACACACACCATATTGATTACAATTAGGCAGTCAGTGCTACTTCCAGGGATTTCAGATATAACTATCACACTGTTGGCTAGTAGTTAGTAGTTCAGTTTTATCCGTTGTGGTTAACCTTGCTTTGAATTTTATTTTCCTTTTTTCTGGATATTGGTTAATGTATGATAATACCTGAGTTTAAAACAAACAAACAAAAAAAGATTTAAATGAGCCACAACAGACACACCTTGTTTTTTGTCCGGTTTCTGAAAGGCAAGACCCATTTCAAGTTGCTCAATACACCAGTTTAGCTCACGATGAAATTTTTCCTCCGGTGTCTGAAGCAAAACATGTGAAGAAAAAACTTTTGTTTGTCGTTTTTGCTAACAAACTCAGTACGATTGACGAGATTTCAAGAAGGAAATGCGTACATTCATTATTTTTACCTCTTCTGTTCCTGGTACTTTCTCTTTATCATTATTCACTTCACTTTCTCCTATTGCCCTCCCTGATTCCTACAAAAATGTGGCTCAGTGTTTAATTTTATAAATTCATTAGCGCTTATGCACGGGCAAATGGCGAATTTCACAAAAGAGATTCTCAATGGGATACCTTAAGACTTTGCTCCTGTTTTTTACGCTTCGCCGCTTCCTTTTTCTTTCTATTTTTGCGCTGTTTCGCTGTTAGTTCTTTTTCCACGGTTTCTCCTGCCTTTTCGTCCGCCATCTTTAATGTCTTTTCACTCAATAATTCAATTCTTATCCAATCAAATGCTTGGAGATTGAAAAAATTAACCAATCAAATCTTTAAGATTTAACCAATTGAAGGCCACTAAATTGGCGCATTAAGTGCCTTATCTTACCGGAAATCCAACGGTTTGTTTACAAACAGAAATTTGTGATGTCTTCCGCCATGGACGTTGGAGTTTCCTCTCACTATTTTTTCGGTGATTCCGTCGACTTTTACCACGATTTTCAGGGAGAATGTGAAGATTGTGGAAGAATAGTTCCAGAGTGGTCATTGTTACAGTGTCAGTATGGCTTTTGCGGGAAATTTTGCTGCACAAAATGTGGATTTCGTTGTCGCAACTGTGGGCAGTATGAAGACCGCTCTGTTTCGCTTTGTTTATCTCACGCCCTAATGGTTTATCCTCCTTGTGATGGTTGTAAGAAACAGTTCTGTGATGTCTGCTCCAAGATATCTGTAACTCAGGTTTGTCTTTTATGGTGACGTGGCATGTAAAATTAGTTAAGTTTGTACAAAACTGTAATTTTTACCGGCCGGCTTTTCGCATGTAAACAAAATTTGGGCGCCAAGATTATACAATTGGTTCTGTTACGATCATTGAGAAGAGAAAAAGCTAAGTAACCTACTAAGTAAAAATACGTTTCTTGAACATAAATAATTAATAACAGAGGTCCAACAACGGAGAAAACAAACATGACCGCGCAAAATGTGTGCTAAATTCGCCATCACCTCTAGAGAGTGACGCTATTAAAGAAATACAACAAAGAAAATCGTCGCGGCAATACACGGCGCTGTGTATTATATTGGCTTTCAACCGAGGTTGGCGCTTTTAAAAAAGAAGCTTTTTTAAAAATAATAACAATTAATTAGAAATAAACGATAGGGGTAGAAGAAATAAAAGCTAAGACTGATCTTTTAGCCCGGGGGAGGGGGGGGGGCGAGTACTGGCCCTCAGTGTGGCCTATAAGGGGATGTGCCACTGGACAGGGTATGGTTTTTTACCTCTCTGTCCTATAAAACACTAGAGCATATAATTTCATGTAAATCTGTCAACAGGGTATTGCCTGCACAATTGATTGATTTGCAAGATAAATTTTGTTTGTACTCCAAGGAGACAAAAGCCTATAATGTGAATTTGCTCTATTGCAATTGTCAAAATAATAAATAATAAAATTGAGGGTGTTGTCCTAAACAGGGTATGTATTTTAGGAATTTCTTTACCTAAACAGGGTCAGGGTGTCAAACCCTATCCACCCCCCCTCCCCCGGGTCTTTTAGCCTTTATTTCAGTGTCTTCAGTAATGTCTGATTTTAACACTATCATATTTCTGTTTCTTTTTGAAGTGTAAATCCTGCCTGAAACATTTCTGCACTAAATGCCAAAGCCAAGAGAATGAAAATATTTCCAAGAGTGGAACCTGTGACCAGTGTGATATTAAAGCTCTACACACCCTTCAGGAGATTTGTCGAACACAAATACGACACACCATCAGGGGTGCAATTGGAAAACCTGGGCCACCATATCACATGCTACAGTCAAGGGATATAGACCAAAATGTTGAACATCTTCCCCTCCCTGGTCCCGTGAAAAACTATGTGTGTTATAAATAGGCTTGCCTTTCCCACCCTCCCTGAGGATAAAAGGATCAAAGAAGTATGGAGTCAAGGAAATGTTGGCTTACGTTTCAAAGAAAGAAAAAAAATACTGTTATAAATGATTAATTTACAAGGAAGCTCTCCAACTGCACTCTTAAATGTGAAAGGCAAGTGGTCTCACTTTGACCTGAGCCAGTTCCTCATAGCTTGCCACTTGCTGATGGGCCAAATGGAGAGGTTACTTGCAGGCAAAACTGAAATTGGATGAATGTCCACTGTTCAAAGAATATAATATGGTCAGAAATGTTGGGCCTAAAAATAATGTAGCAATGTACATTTCTGAAAGAAAGAAAGCAAACCAAAGAAATGGTGTATTACTAGAGTTCAATGCATTGACTGTGCTGTGTCCAGAATTTATGTCCATAATTTGAATAGCACTTGTAAATAATGAAATGTTCTAATATTAGAAAGGCTATAAGTTGTAGATATTTAAATAATACGTTTTGGACCACATCGAAAATTTAATGCAGAGAGAAACTTAGAATATTTTAGTTTGAAGATAAAATTAATAATCTCTGCAAGTGAAAATTTGATTTATACTGGTGTAAGGTAACCTAATCCAAAAAAAAAACATCAGTTCTGTATTTTGAGGAAGAAAAGGACTTTACATTTAATTATATTAATGATATTCTACAATCTCAATGCAAATTAATTGCAAATGAAATTTACATTTTATTGCTGACTGGGTCATTTTGCAGTTCTTTGCTTCGTAACCTAACCTTCTATTGAATGCAGGGCTAGGGTTGATCTCATTTTCATACAATCCCTCCAGCTGTTTATCTTTTTGCTGTTTAAATGCTAATAAAATACCAGTTAATACAGGACTCGCTTCCACCAACAACTGTAAACTGGATTATTTTTTATTTTATTATCGTGTGGAACAAAATAATTTCTTAGAGTGTGACTTTTTCAGCATGATTATCAAATAGATTAGACTGAGCACTGTAAATAAATCGTGTAAATATTAATCCACAAATAAAAAGAAATTAAGGTTTCCTTCTGCTTGTAGAAATGATGTTATCAAAATGACAATAATTCTGGCTATTGGTAAATTGGAAGACAATGGTTCTACTTATATTCTAAAAGGATAATGTTGCCAAAAGGCAAAGCCTTGGTTCCTATCTGGGAGGAAGACTGTGGAATATTGAGGAAATTTTTATTTTTTTGGCTAAGAATATAATAGCCTGTTCCAGGATCCAAGATAGTGGTGCAGTCGTTTAGTAAAAAGTGATGCGAAAAATGTGCCAGGGCAGGGAGAAAATGTGCCAGGGCCGGGGAGAGAGAGGGCACTCCCATTTTTCCAGCCAACAATGTCTTCCCTAGATCATGTCCCTCTTTTTCGCTAGGCTTGTTTTATTTTCACAATGTGAGCCAGATACAAGCTAAAGGTATAACCCTCCAATGTGCTAGCCCCCGGAACGAATTTACTTTTTGACTTTTTGCCCCTTGATTTTGGTATTTTTGACACAGTTTTGCCACCAGACTATCAACTCTGCTTTTAAATTACTGATTTGCTCAACCAAAACGACTTCCATTTTTCATAAAAAATTCAAATTTATTTTCTTTCTTACTATATCAACAAAAAAAATTCCATTGCATAAACTATGTGCTTTTATTTTACATGCTCTAGCTCTTCTGAAATTACATTAAAATCTGATGCTATCTATTGACATTGTTTTTTTATTATTATTTACTTTTTTCTTTTCACTAAAAAATGATCATTTATATAATTTCTTCTACTCAGAAGTGAGATTCTCCAGGCAATGTTCCATGTATTCATGAGTTAAATTGTATCTTGTTATCATTCCCACAAGCTGAAACAAAAAAACAGAGCAAGTTTGTCTTTCTGATCCCATTTATATGGAGAAAAGTTGCCTCGGACAGGTAGAAGGCTCACCCACCTGACCACGCTACCTTGGGCAAGCCAAGTTTAACAACATTTTTTGCAAAACGTTGGCCCAGCTATAAGGGTCACCCTTTTGTGATGGTAGGGTAAGCCTCCTGGCTGCACCACCTTTTTTACTTTTAAACACTTCGGTTCACCCAGCCATGGAAACTCGGTCAAAGCAAGACAATCAGAGCGTGCACAACGCTGTTAGCTCAAGCAAACAGATGATTCCTACATACCTGCCCCTTGGTGTTAATCACTATCAAATGACGTAGACCCATTGTCCTAAACAGGTTGAAGACTAGAGGTACTGGGGTCCAAGGATACACCATATAAGGACACGGGTTCATGTAAGGGGTCACATCCTGACAAAAACAAAGAAACATTAAATGTTTTCTGTTAACTTACAAAAGGCAATCACTTGTAAGTTATACAATTTTTGACATTAACGTTTTACAGATTCAAAAGCAAACACTGACAGTCAGACAAACTACATTATGGATGCTGGGCTGAATGGCTGACTTTCTATATATTGACTGAATGGTTATTAAATTTGCACAGTCACTGATTGGCATGGGTAGAAAACATTTTGATTCTAGAAACACTCCTCAATTTGTAACTTCTATTTCATTATGATCAGAGCCCTACTGTGCATGCTATTCAGGAATAGGTAGACCTGCCTGGCTGGAATGTCCTCACATATTAGTTGGATCCTCTTTACAACTGGAATAGCTAGTGTGGGTGACCACAGTTTTGGCTATAAATGGTAAGTGACCTAAACCAGGACTTGCTGGCTGACAGAATTATAAACAAGTTGCATGACTGACTGTCACATTAATATTCTATTGACACGATAATTATGGATGGATGGGGACTTCTTAAGGGGGGTATGTATGTACCTAGTCTAAAAAACAGAAAGAAAAAGGTTTGTTTATGGTGAAAAGTGCACTTAATAGCTTATCCAGCTATACTACTTTACAGGCACTCAACTCAAATAATTATGAAACAAACGATACAAATAGAACATAACAGGATTACAAACCCTAACGGGCGGGAGGCTGCACCAGTTGGCTATTTACAAGCATGGCCGAGGATTTGAACTCGGGATGACCGAGAACAAATTCAGCAAGTGGCCAGACCGGGAATCAAACCTGGGACTGCCGGATTGAGAGTCTGACACGCTGAACAATCGGCTGCACTGCCTCCTAATCTCAATTTCAAATAAGGTTGTTTCACATTTTGAGAAGTAGGCCATGTCCTTGTCAGTAGTAAATCAATTTTCATGTTGTCTGTTGCCATTTTATCTTAGTATTATGTTAAAGGCCATGTTGCTTGTCGGAATGTTATCCTAACTGGGCCTCATTGACGTGTGATTGATACAATGGATGACTCACTGCTCAGAAGCTTGGTACTGTAAAAGAACTGACTTACACTTCCTGATTTGCTGGCAGTTTAAGTTATGAAATAATTAACTAAACTTACCATAATTTTCTGCTGGTCTTCAAATTCAATGTGCAGATCATGGATATCAGGAAATCTTGGATAATCCTCTTTCATACTTGCAAAATCTAGACCTGATCGACCAGGGATCTGGAATGGAAGGAAAGTTTGTATTTTAATGCGCATTACTAAAGACTTCATTAATTTTGTAGTTAAAGTACACGACATCTACAATCAAATGACAGATATTTATTCCATAATTTTTGTGATTGCAAGTGGTACTCATGGGAAAAGAATTTGATTTTAGATCAAGAGTCAGTTTCTGCCTAGTTTCCATGCACCAGTTTACCAGTAAAATAATAATAATCCCATCCACGGTGGAAGTAGTATTAAGAATTTATTGCATGATCAGGCTACAAATTATGGCAAAAATGTGGATAAATATAATTATTTTGGTCTTGACATTTTCTGCCTACAAGAGATTAATAATGGCTATGGAAAGTATTAGTTGGAGGATACTAGCTGCAGAGATACATACTCACCTGGTAATTCTCTAAATAAAAGACTCTTTTCTTTAATAGGGTCACCAGCTGTGACCTGAGAATGAGCCCATGGAATGTTAAAGCTTGGGACTCTTCTTGTTCTGTAGCTCTTTGAGAACCACCACCTGAAACAGGTCTATCATGTAAAACTGAAATTCAAAAGCAATAAGGCCCTTTTAGTCAACTTTTTGCTGTATTTGGAAATTGTAAATTTATGCAGCATCCTTTCATCCACTTATTCCCACAGGGCTTTTTAGGGATAATTTATGAGACTGCATGGTTGAAAGACTTGTGCCAGACTGCTTTTTTTACAACACTGAAGTAAAAAGTTATGAATGCTTCCAATGTGAATTTGAAACTGATTATAGAGAATGTCACCAGAAACCACATCCCTAACTTACAGTGGAGGGGTTCCCTTAGGAGAGACTGTTAAAATGTAAATTTCTTGTGGTGAAATATAATAGGACCTCTGTAAGGTGTCTGCTTTTGTTACTGCTATCATAATGTTGTTCTGCTTTTCATTTTAGTTAGGTTTACTTAATACCTAAACACAACTACATAATTTTTATAATTATATTTTTAGCAAAACATACCTTTTAAGGCTTTTTATTCATAAGTTACGTTTTGAAGATATTATACACAACACATGATGTATTAAATTCTTATTTATCATTTAGTTATTTTTATTCTATGTATTATTATAATGGGCGGTTGATCATCTCGTCATGAAAACTGCGCAATATAAATTCTTAAATTCTTCTTCTGCTTCCTTTAGCTGATCAGCATGTATAAGTGTACACTCAGGGCTATAGGCAGGGAACTGAACAGCTAATATTTGAATGTTTTGGTTCTATTTTCCTTTTGTTTCCTTTGAAAGTAACTGGGGGTCATGCTCATACTAGCCAGCAGTGGAAATCCCTGGCCCTGTGACAGCCCTGACACTCATCTTGAAAATGCCTCACTCTATGCTGGCCTAATTCAAGTGGAACAGCAAAGCAATTTACTTTATGTTGTTCCCTTATCGTACCGTCATCATCGTCATCAACCAAGACCCTTTCTTGTTCCAGATCTTCATTAATCAAGTTGGAAGGACCAGGTGCAGAAGAAGAGTATGTCAAACAGTCTTTATCATTGTCACTTTTTAGCCTTTTGCCTTTAATATCCACACGGCGACTCATCATAGGAATGTCTGATATGGTCCTATTTCTATGAGCTAGAGTACTTCCTTCACCAGTCCGTAAATGCCGTAGTAGTTTCTGTTCACTTGTTAAATGTGAAAAAGTGGTTGTACGAGCAAATCGCTCATTAGAAGTATCGACATGAGCCTCAGAGTCACTTTCATTGAGTTCACTTTGCGAGTCTTTGTAGACAGTCACTACAGGAAACGCATTATGCGCTGTGGTTTTAAGGATTCCAACAATAGACTGAACCCTTGTGTGGGGATATATATATGACAAGCAAGACTCCATTACATCAGAAGCTTTTAATCTGCAAAAAAAGAAGGAGAAAATCATCAGATCTGCTTAAAGTGCCGCCAAAAATGATGTAACTCAAATATCCTTTCATTACATCAACAGAATAACAGATTTAACCTTCCATGCTAAATGCTCAATAAACTTAGCAATAGGACTCGATCTCTCCGCAGTGCTCTTCAAATTAATGATAGTTAAGCTAAACTAAAATAAGCTTACTTCACAAATGTTTCAAAAGCACCAAACAGAGTTGTACTCTTCACTGGTTTACAGAAGAGCAATAAATATTAGTTTCATAATAATACGCTCATTATTCCAAAGTACAGTAGGGTTAGCTGGAAAGAACTGCGTATGCTTTAACAGGGGATCAAAAGAACAGCGATTCTTGTTCATGACTTCTGGTGCCAGTTAACCTTACATAGATTTCCCAGTGAAGAGAAGATGAATAAGAATTAAGAACACACCTGTACATTTCCTGAGGAATTGCCCATTCAAGGAGAGGAACTCTCTTTAACTTGATGTGAATGTCATAAAGGCCTTCATTAAACAAATCACCTGACCATTTAGCAACCTGCACAAATTGAGATAAAAAGAAGCAATCTGACAATCCTACTATCACAAACATTCACAACAAAGACAATGCACACTTCGCAAGGATGTT